TATGGAGGAGCCATGAGAGAGCTGTAAATATTCAAGGGAGGGTGGGTTGCCAAATCGCCTGGATGAAATTCATGCTTCATTCAACGCCAAATTGACTTGAGGAAAGTCATGCTTTGGCAAGAAAAAAGCCATTTAAGTTAGTGTACCTGGTACACAGATGATCAGTAAGGTTAATAATAAAACTTTATGAAATCAAGCAACTTTTTTAAGAGGGCTCCAAGTGCATCTGTGGCTTGTGACCCAGCAACATATACGGCTCCTAAGGCCAAAACTGACGGCCCTCTCCTGTTTCACACACTAGCAGCATGGAGAATTTGGCTTGCTAACTCTTTGCTATTTAAGGAAGCCAAAGAACAACAGCCAGAATCTACAACTCTGGATGAATTTTTCAACTCTGGATGTGTTTTTCAAACTTGGCAACTTTTAAGATGTCAGGACTTCAACTCCCAGAATTCCCCAGCCAGCAAATTAAAAAACACTGCATTAGATCAACACGGGTTAATATACGGCCCTTAACTCATGATTTAGCTAGGGGATGGTATGTTCTGTGGCCTTATGTTCTCTATAAAAGACTCTGCATTCTGGGGAATATCATAAACACTTGGGGAGCAGGCAGGGCCACAGGTGAAGAAGACTTTAAATGGGAGTAGATCCTTAAGCTTCTATTGCTTACTTTCCATTCCAATTAGTAGGAGAGATACATAACCAGGACCACAAATGTCTTGCTTGCTTAAGTGCTTCATATTTACAAAGTCTCCTCCAACCAGCTGCTTTCTAGATGTGGAATCAGTACAGATGTGGTACCATGACTTGCTTAGCAGAGGGTACATTTAGCAAAACACAGCACCTATTTCCAGGGGGTTCTTCTTTGGTATCATATTAGACAAATGTAATATTGCCCCAGAACAGATTTTTTTTCTTATCAGTTCTGAACAGTAGCCATGCTCCAAGTAGAAAGGCAATTAGACAAGTAGCTGTGGTGACCCAAAGAAATCCTCAAGTATGTAACAGAAGAGGCTGATAAACATGACATTATGCAACCAGGCCAAACATATGTGGTGCATAAGTGGCCAAGGAACCATGGCAAGAGACCCAGAAAGCTTTGTTCAGAGTACTAAACATGTGACAAAATGTAGGCTGGAATATCATATGCTGTTACACCAAGAAAGGTGAATTTAATATAAACCAAACTCAGTGTTTGGCAGAAAAAGGAAGCATTTCACCAACAAAAGGCAGATCTATTTTTTATTTCTGCTGACTTTTATTATCAACAGTATCCCTATTTTGGGCTCCTATAAAATGTCTTTGTATGCATGTTGCTAATCTACATTCAAGGCACTGGAAAGTATACTTTCATGGTAAAACTGTTCAGAAAACAGCAGATTTAGAAAATGTCTGTGTGCAGCCTCCTTCAAAAGCCAAGGCTCTACAGCAAGTTTGGAGGCATCACCCTGGGCCTCCACCTCCTTGTTCTCCAATCTCATTGCCACAAGACAATGCACTCAGTTTCAGTTGTTCCTCTAGCTTTCAACAGTACCTTACTGCCATGAAACTAGGTCTTCCTCCATTCCAGGAACTTGGACTGCCAAGTTCCTACAATTATACCAATGGTAGAAACTTAACAATATTATCTTTTCACACCCTCACTGTCATTTTACCCTTTTCAGAATATCTCACCTTGATTGGCAAAGAAATAGTTACAGGTCTGAGGCCTATGTTAGCTGAAATGTATGCTAATTCTACTCTGTTCCTGGATGATATAATATTTTTAGTCCATTATCAATACACCCAACCTTGTTTTTTTTTTTTTCCAGACAATCCACATGGCCTGTTGGTGTTCTTTAAGGCTTCTCCACTCCCCTCAGTTCTTTTGTGTTGTAGTTTTTAAAAAAATTAAATTTATTTGCAAAGAAAGAAAATGTCCATTTTCTAAAGTAACTCCTCAGATAGCTTCACCTTTGCAGAGAAAAGGTTTAAACAAGGTACAAGTGATATTTTACGCAAAACGAGAACATATACATTCTGAGCATGGGTATGCAGCATTTTTCATATCCATGAAGAATTCAGATTCACACGTATTATGTATGTGATTAAAAATATATGCAAATTCTACAGCATATCCAAAATAAGTTCTTTGGATCATGGCCCCTGACTTTCAATTTTAGCATTACTCTCCTTGAATTCCTTGTGGGCAATTTTTAACATTCCTTAAAGATGCCACATTTTTGAAGGCAGGTGGATTGTACAATATAAAATGCACCGGTTCAATGCTTCTGCAGACAGAAGCACCAAGAGACATAACTGTGAAGTTGTAACGCCATCCCTTTTCCATCAAACACATTTTATCTCTTTGTAGGTCCTCATAACCGATCTGGATGTCTGTGTTCAAGTAAACATTATGCCTGCTTGCACATGTGCACTGTGCTAGACAACTTTATGCTTTGTTCAGCAGCGCATGAGGTTCGGAACAGCGTATAGCATTACTGATGCTTAACCTCGTTAAGTAAAGCTGCCAAAGTATTACAGGATATTATATATTATACCAGAGGACAGAATCCAGAAGAAGTTCCTGCTGAAAGAGAGAAACTGATCATAAATTAAACAAAACAAAACAAAGCAAGAGAAAACATCGATTTTGTTCTTGCACGCAGGCTGATGCCTCAGTCAGGAATTTCCTCTTAAGAGATTTCTCTTTGAGCTCTAGAAATACAATAATGCATCCAACAGACCAAAAAAAGGGGGGGGGCTTTACTGTTCAGGAAGCAGAAAGCTGTGAAAGCACCACAGAACTGCTTTTCTAAATGATCTTGGTGAAACACAGAGAGACTTTAAAAAATGAACAGAAGCAGCAATAATACTTATCCACAAAGTTATGACTAAACAGTGCAAAACCATGGGGGCACCACGCCTTCCAGGAAATCTACATCTGCAGAGCAGCTCAGCTGTTGCTGAGGAAGTGGAGGCACGACAGAAATAGTCTAACCTCTCCCCATTTTATGCTACGCAGAAAATGGGTTGAACTGGGTGCCGGAGAACATTCTCAAAATCACATAATGATGGTGACATGGTGGATCCCTCCAACCGTCAGACAAGAATCCTAATCAGTATCTCCCTTTCTGGAGGGCTTCCTGGGGCCAGATATGGCTCACTCCACCATTTGAATTTTATCTAAAAATGATGCAGAGGCTGGGCTAAGGGATGGACTAGACCCAAGGACATGGAAGATAACTCACACCTACCAGGAGACAAAACTTTTGCCTGCCAATTGTCTACCCAGTTACACCACACAAATTCTTCTGTTGTTAATCTAGCAAGCTCCCAAAGCTTTTCTGAAACAGAAATCAACAGTTCAGCCTGACCATTAGTCATCCTTTGGATCATGTATTCAGAAACATCCTAATACAAGAAGTGCCGAAGACATGTGACATAGGAGGAAGTCACCCTGAGCCTATCATCTATCACGTGCCACCTTTCGCACAGACCAGCAACAGAACTGGCGATCACATCCAACTACTACACAAGATAAAGCTGGCTAATTAGATTAGAGGCAGCCTCAAACTGCTGCTTACACTTCTGCTCCTAAATTGGCTTATGTAGTACTACATACTGCTCTGCATAACTTATCTGGTTAAACACTTCCAGTACGTTCCGACTGAAGCCTACATTTTGGTTACACAGTAGAAGCCCTCGTATAATGCCATCATCTGCCAGCAATGCCCTTCTGGATTCTATGTAGGACAAACAAAACTAACTTTGCACAAAAGGAGTAGTGGACGCAAGCTTGACCGTGAGGATCCAAAACAAGGACAAAACAATATCAAAGCGTTTCAGTGTCTGCAAAAGCTCCATTACAGATCTCAAAGTAGCCATTTTGGAAAAAAGAAACTTTAACAGCACCCTTCAGTAAGAGATCGCTGAAGGTGCATGCATCAAAAAGGTCTCAACAAGCACAATGGGCTTTTAGCTCATTACAATTGTTAATTGATAAGATAATCTGTCTCACATGTAACCTGCATCTGCAAAACTACCCTGTGTTCCCATACCTTCCCTCTTCCACTTTAAATCCTACATCGGTTTAGCCACTCCAGACAACTGATGAAGTGAGCTGTACCTCACAAAGGTTTATACCTTTTAATAAAAGGCGTCAATCCAAAAACATGCTACCTCCTCCTGATTTTGGTTATGCAATCAGGAGGAGTCTGGTAGCACCTTTTCAGACTTTTTATTAGAAGATATAAACTTTTGTGAGATACAGCTCACTTCCTCGGTGAAATTACGACAATACCCCACAGCATATGCAACACTATCCCTTCACTGGTGTGTAATTTCAAACTTTCCTTGTGCATCTTGAGTAAAGTGGTGGAAGAAACATTTCAGAGATATGCAAGACTCTCACAAACAAAGTTGGTCTTAGATTTAGAGAACGTTTATATAACAGATTACTACAGGGCATGTGGCCTCCTGGGAAATTACTCTAGACCCAAATCAGTAGTTACTAATGATGAGAAATCATTCCATTTCGACTGCTGATACGAGAAAGCTAAAGCGAACTGTGTTCACGGTGGAATGTTTGCCACTTTCGTTGTTTTATCAGGCCCTAAAATAGGGCTGGAATGTATGATTCTGTGTTGTTAAGTTCTGGTTGTAATCAGTCTCAGTCAACATTGCCAATAATCTGAGCGAACAGAAATTAAAATTTATGAGGGCTGCAACTTCCTCTTCCCAATCAAAGCAAACACCATCCTTTGAGGAACACCTCCAAGGGGCAGAGTGACAGTGGAAAGAAAGAGAGGAACTGTCTTAATTTTGGGGCTGCGGATCTCTGAAGATCACATATTGAGATGAATCATCATCTGTTGTCCAAATCCCTGATCTTTGTTTCTGGACTACTGAGCAGAGAAAAGATTCTATTTTCAAGAACAAAGATAATTACCAAATGCATTACAGTATACAATTGCTGAAATAAACCAATAAGCTATTTTTATAGTCAGAAAGCTTACCAAATATTTCTCCATTTTTGGCATATTCTGTCACAAGGTACAACATGCTTTTGGTCTCCATCACCTGTGAATGGAGAAATTGAACATTATTTTAACTAGCAAAGAGAGAGAGAGAGAGAGAGAGAAACGCAGAAAATCTTGGAAGCAACTTTTTTCAGTATTTTCCTGAGGTAAATTATCCACCAGAAGTAATTGTTACAAGTATAATAATTCAAAATTACTTTAAGAATTCAAATGGATTGGATAGAGGTCAAGCTTCCCTAAATTAGTGATCAAAAGGAATGCCCTGTTACTGGATCACAAACATCTTTAAGAAAGATGGAGATTTCTCAGAGCTAAGACATAGCCTGAAAGTTGTAGCGTTTGAGCCACCGTGCTTAAGCAATAACTCCTCGATTATTTGGAACAAATAAATATGTGATCTTAGTACTGGATTCTACGTAGCTCTCTGACACAACTAGCATTTACAGTGGGATGCAAAATATAGGAAAACAATGTCGGATACTTTTAATCTTGAAGGCAGACAAGATAAATCATGGCAATCCAGCCATGTGAGTATGGCTGGCATTGAAATGTTCAGGTCTGCTTCTGGGAAGATCTGTCTCATTCAACAATTCTACAATGACTTTCTCACAAAACAGAAAGACTAGCTAGCAAGTAAGAATTGCAACAGAATTTTGAAATCTTGCAAAATTTGCACCCATATGTGAATACTCCTGTGGAGAGTTCCTGCCAGTTCACCATATTCTTCTCCAGGATGTTATAAGTCGGGGTGAACAGCAGGTAGAATCGGGATCAACTGATGTATTTTAGGCAATCTGAAGTAGATCAGTGACAATTTCTGTCTCCCAACTGTTTAAGTATGAAAATGAAGGACTTGGATGTAGTCCACAAAAGTTTATGCCAGAATACATTTATTTGCCTTCATGCCATCACAAGACACTTCCAAGAACTTCAAATATTTTTTTCCAAAATCTAACACAGATTGTAAACCCTCATGGCAGAGTGAGAACTGCTGGCATTAATGAATAATAATCTCGCTTAGAATGTTAAAGCAGCCAGGCAGCTTGTCAGCACAAAGGCGAGATAGCAACGCTTTTAATAAATACTGAAAGTTGGAGAATTGAATAGCTTGGAGAATTCTTCTTGTACCCTGAGAAAATTTTACGCCACGCCCAAAGTAATCTCTTGATCAAATTTAGGCATCAATGTTTTTGTTCGCCAAGGCAACAAAGCTGCGGCGCTGGGGGGCATTCTAGGTCACCAAATTTGCAGCTAAAAGATGAACGAGGATCGCGAGCGAGGGCTGTAGCAATCCAGACCAGGCCGCTTAAAGCACAGAAATCAGCAACTGCTCCAACACTGTTCCTCTGGCTGAGAGGAAGGATGCAACTTCTCACCAGCTCTTTAGCACAGTTACTTGGAAGCGAAGGGATCTGCGTAAACACCATCCAATTCCGAAGCTGAGAGGCTCTTGCTGAACGTATTTATGGGTGAAACCATTGGAAGGAGGAGGATTTGGTTAACTGCAGGTCAAGCATACAGTATTTCTGCAGCAATCCTCATGTTTCTAAGGGTCCCAAGGAACTTGGTGAAATCTTCCTTGTGAGCAGAGAAACTTGGTGGTCATCATTTTTAGTCTGGCTAGCAAAGCCAAAAAATAAAAAAAAGTAGACCCTTTAATTTAATGAATCCATACCTATAATGGGAAAAGTACATTAAACATAGTGTATCATTCCTGTGTTGCCCACCAATACAATATCTACAAAAGCAAATTAAAAGCCACATTGTTCTTGTCTTTCATAAACACTACTCTCCCTTTTAACTTTTTAAAGATGGGTTTATTGTTACATAAACCTACATAGAAAAGGATGCATAGTCAGCTATCTGAATGTATAATTGTCTCCCAATTGTATGCTGACAGTCTTCCCATGGGAACGACATTTACAAAAAGGAGGGATCAGTTGCCCTGTAACAAAAGTAAAGAATTTTTAAAGATGACAAAAAGAATACTTGTGATGGCTAGCTGCTTTTTCCAGAAGATCTCAGAGCATGAAATAGTATTGTATTATTTTTATGCTGTGGGTCATTCTCTCATTTCTAAATTCCAGTTCAAGTAAGTCAGCTGTTCATTTTATAATATCAGAATTAACTTCCTGATTTATAGCATACTGTCAATATTAAGACATGATTTAATAAAAGTGAATCACACAACTCACAAGACAGACCTCATTAAATTAAATGTATCTTCTTTAAATGAAGGTTTCTTTTTTCTTGAGATTCAATATTTAATAGGAGTAATTTGTTAATGACATTGGGTAAACTAATAAAGATAGTTCTAAGCAAGGCTTTTATATAAATTTACAATGATCTCAATCTGCTGGCATCTGATGTCCTATAGCGGTGCTTCTGAAAAATTCTGTTTATTTCATTATTTCATGTCTGAAGCTCGCTCTTGAATTATTGCATCCTTGTCCATGGATACAGCAGATATATTTGAATTTTGGTTCACCCCATGAAGTTTCAACTACTTCCTACTTTGGTTCTACAGCTGGCTGTCATCATTTCAAACATCTGGTTATCTCATGCAAAAGAGTTGCATTCAAAATAATCAAACCACCCTCTTTTATCACACGGATCAATATGAATGTCAAAACAAGTAGTGTTTAACTGTTAAAGGGGCATAAGGCAGCTTTCCATAGAAATGCTATATAAATTCCTGATTACTTAATACTTTGAATTGTTTTATGCATACGACCCACATAAAATAAAAGATAATCAATGCTAATGAAGGTATGGTGCTCTAAACAAGTCCTCAAGGAGATTTCTAGGACATTTACGTGATTGATGCTAAGATGAAACTCTTGTTTGTGTGACAGCATGGCTATATAATGAGGAACAAAGTATTAAAGATAAATATGACATGACCTATTTAAACTTTCAAACTTATTTAACCCTCATAGTTACGGAGCTGTACTTGTCTGAATGGATTAGATAAGTCTACTAACAGATCTCTGATCAGTAACAACTCACAGATAAATTGGGAGAAGCAGTAAACAGGTTCCATACTAATCCATATTTGTAGTGTAGAGTTCTTGTGGTTTAGAATTAAGCATAAACAGTCCAAATATTTAATGCACAGATACAACATAGTCAATGCTGAAAAAACTGAGAAAACTCTAGTTTCCTACCCTTTAGATCAAGAGCAAAAGTCAAGTACTATAATGATGAAAACTGAAGTAGGCAAATTACAGATTTTGAAATACCATCGTTCACTGTTCCACATTAGGAAACTGTTGAGTAGCAAATCACTCTACTGAACATGCAGTTGCAAAGCTATTCAGGTCAAACTGCAGATTACATAAACAGGATCCCGTGAAAGATGAAGTCCCACTGATCCATCTGACCTTATGTTTAGAGAGGGCCAATATCCTCAAGTGACTCGCTACACTCATACAAGACCCTAAGCCAGGATTCTTCCCCAATGTGGCTTGTTCATAAGAAAATGTGCTGGTGAATGCTGCCTCCCTGCTCCCACTTCCCTCTTCCTTCAAGCAGAAGCAGATAAACTAACCAGGAACTTAGTACGATAGAAAAGTTCAGCATTATGCTCAAGCCTTGCCTTGTTGCTTCTCTTACAAGCCTGAATTTAAAAAAAACATTTCAAACCAGTGTTCCTTGAAGATCAACAAGCCAAGAGTCCCCATTCAGATATAAGATGGTTTACCCTGCAAGTTCTTGGTTAGCACAGCTGTTCTTGCAGATAGGAAGGAACCAAACAGGCACAACTGTGTAACATGCATTAGTACACTTGACTTGCTAATGATCATAAGCCACGATTCTGGCATTCTGCAGGACTACTGCTGCTGTTACTGATTTTCCAAGTGGAAGAGAATCCCTGCAGTCTAACCTAAAACAATTAAAAGTCTGTTCCTGTCAATGACAACCAATTGTATAAGCCCAGCTCCCGTCGCCTGTGGCTGTTGAAGTCAATGGAAGTTCAGGCTTGTGAATTAATAAATTATTCAAAGCCATACAGTTGTTAACATTCAAAAAGGATGAAGTGAAAAACTAACCCTGAAGTACCTGAAGTATAAAATTATTTTCAGATTTGTAGACGGGGATTAATTAATTGCTACCCAATAATTCAACCAACAGAAACCAGAAAGAAGCTAAATTCAGGACTTGACTGGTAAAAAGGTTTAGTTCCCATCACTTTTTAACATTTGGATTTTACATGCAAGATGGTTACATACCTGATAAAGCTTGATAATATGTGGATGGTCCAGCATTTTCATTATCTGTACCTCCCGGTAAATTTTTTCCAGGTTCACAGAATCTAGCTGAGATTTGTCGATGATTTTTATTGCCACCTAGAAACACACACAAGAGCAATTGTTGATGTCAACCCTGCCTTGACAAACCAGTTCACCAAGGTGCAAAGGAGCTGTCACCACCTAGTTTTGGCTTAGGGGGTATGTTGACTGTGCTCTAGGACTGAAACATTGCATTGAGAAAAATCAAGGAGTTTGGGGGGTGGGAGGGGGTGGAACAGCAAATATTATACAGAACCCAGTGCTATGCTTTGGTTGATAGAAGTTTGTTTGTTTGACTTCTATAGTCACCCACCTCAACAGTGACTCTGGGCTGCGTTCCTGAAAGAATGAGATTAACACTTACTCGCCAATGCATTTAAATGGATTTCTCTATAGCAGTGTTTCTCAACCTTGGCAACTTGAAGATGGGTGGACTTCGACTCCCAGAATTCCCCAGCCAGCCATGGTTGAGAAAGACTGCTCTCTTGCAACCTGTTCCAAAGGATTCTCCAACTCTCCTGAGCAGATTTTAAGAGTATATGGGAAAAATGAGGAGCTATACAAGCAGACTTCCATTTACATGACATTGGATTCCCCTAACTCATCTCATTTTACTTTTACAGTTATCCTCTTGCTTAGCGAAGATTCGTTTACCTTTATTTCTATACAGGAGCATGAATGTTTATTTTGTGGATGCTAAAATGGACAGAATGCTTTAAAGTGAGACTTAAGTCTTCAACCTTATCATGGCACCCCAGAACACAGAGGGGAGCAAAAATTCTGAAATTTATCACAGAAATGAAGGATAAGCAAGTAAGCGTCTGTTGCTGAGAAAGGAGAGAGAAAATGAACAAACAAATAAACTAGACATTGCTTCACACCAAAAGTGCTTCAAAGGTTGTTCCTATTAAAAGTACATGACTAATATATTGTACATTAGTCATATGTGTAACTTATATTCTCTATGCTCGCAGTAAGAATCCCCCCACCTACTAATCCCCAAGAGGAAAAATAAATTCTTTAACATAAAAATACAGTTGAAGAACTTCACAACATGTGCAATTGAAAAACAAAATCAATGGAGCTAAATTATGGCATGTTTTCCATTTTAACTATGATTAATATTTCAGACATTAAAAAAAAACCCATATATAATTGTTCAACTGAGATCTGAGTACAGCGTAAACTCTCCTTAGGGAAAGCTAAGCCACTGAAACACAACGAACACAGCTCAACTTATTTACAAATCTGTGTTAGTTTTAAAATTAAAAATTAAAACATACAAATGATCAACTGAAAATCACAGTGCATCGTCAGTGAAGAACCAGGCAAGAGCAGAGTGACCTCTAAAAAACACATCAATTGTTTTCTCTCTCTCATACACGCACTGGCAGACAGGCTTGGTTCACAATTACACAAAGACACAATGTAGTTTATTTGGTTTTGCCTTATCAATCTTCTGAGTTTTTATTAAGTTGTTTTTCATCCAGAGGGCATCTTTCCAAACTGTTATGGTACCCTATTATTGGATATATAGACTCTAGAAGGCATTTTTCTCTACGGTATTAAAATCTGCAATCGTTCAAGTAACAGGAATAGTGAACTTTTCTAGACAAGTAAAGGGAAATCTTTCTTCATAGAGCACATATTTAATCTATGGAATCTGCTTCAAGAAGATGCTGCCTGCTTGGACAGTATAAAAGCGATGAGCTAGGACAATCTTACAACATCTCCAGAATCGGACGCAGCATATGTCTCAAGACAGATGAGAAAATTATTCCCATCCTCTCTGCTGGTGAGCTTCCAATAGCATCCCGTTGGCCCGCTGGGAGAGCAAAAAATATTTCTTAAATTTTCTTTTAAAACTTCAGTAAACAAACAAAATGTTTACGCAGATAGGCTCCTCATTCTATTTATTTTAGGCCAACCTGGACTGTGTGCAGAACCTGTGCTAGAAAGGGACCGTAAGATATTTTAGATTCCTTCACAAAATATTCCCAATCAAGTTTTCCCTAAGAACAGATCTAGCTGGGAGAGATTATTTTCCAATTAGCTGTCATCAGCAACAATACTGCAAAATTCCACAGCAACCACCTGTGGAAACAAAGTGGAGGGTCTGATGCAACGGGAAATGGCATCTCTTTGCCATATCAGAAAAGTCCTTCTACCTCCAACCACATCTGAGCCTAGTTATTAAGCGCTTAAGTCTCTAAACGCTGCAAAGAGCTGTTCAGAGGCCTGTATTTTCCTTATGCAAGATCAAGAACATATGCAAGAAAACTGAAAGTCAGTACTCTTTGGGAGAAGAACAAAGCCCACACTTCTCTTGTTTACCCAACAGATAACTAGCTTATGAAAATGTCACAACATATAATTAAGATTAGCACTGCTTCTAAAGAAGACAGAAAGATGAATCACGAGAATGTCGGCTTTTATTAGAAATAGAGAAGAAACTCTTATTCATCCCAGGCACCTTGCGTGCATCAAGGAAAAGAAGGCGCACGAAACAGCTTGCCCCATTCAAACAAAACAAATCCACAAAGACGTTTTTATAGAGAATCAAAACAGATGGACACGGCCTGTATTTTGGCAGCAAGACTTTTGTCTCCGTGCTATCAAAGTGCATTCCCAAATAAAGCAGAATATGGACCTCTCTTCATCTTTGAGCCAGGATATGATACCTTAAGGAGAGAAAAATGCTATTCAGCCCTGATTACAGGATGTTGGGCACTCCAGGATACACTAGAAAAAATATCCTGTTGTTTCTGGGTAGCAATTTTACATCACTAATTGTCATTCATAAACATTACAGCTAATCCTCCAAAATACATATTGTCAGGATTATAAGCAGCAGCATCGTCTCAGCTACGAGCCATGTGTGAACTGAGATGGCAAACCCAGCCTTTTGCTCGTTTTATTTGAAAAAAAGAAATGGAACAAAACCTTCAATTCTATATCAACGCCTGGCATCCTGCAGCCCAAATAGTTTGAAAAGTGGAAAGGAGTTATGTATTTATTTATGCCTTTCAAGATTGGTAGTAAGAGCCTACCTCAAACCACATTGGTATTTCCAAGCAATTCAGATATTTTGCAGAGTTCATCTAGCCTGAACAAATACAAAATAATGGAACCACAGAGTGACCAAAGCATTAGATCACAGTCAGGAAGAATGACAAAGTGAAGAAACACCTTCATGTGGGTACCAAGATAGCCATACAGGTAGTCCTCGGATTACGATGGCAATTGGGACTAGTATTGCTGTTGTTAAGTGATGAGGTCATAAAGTGCAGCGTCATGGGACCACATCGTTTAGTGACGGCAATCCCAGCAGTCATTCTTGCCATTGTAAACCGAGGACCACGTGGGTTGTGGGAAGCGGCAGGAGTCCCAGTTAAGGAGGGCAGGAGGAGAGGGGGGTGCTGTGGGTGGATGCTGGGGAGTGCAGGTGGGCCAGCAAGGGCAGTGGGTAGGCGCTGGGGAGCACAGGTGGGCAGGTGCTACAGAGTATGAGATCCCTGGGATCTCGTACTCTGTAATAGGGCTCCTCAGGAGAAAGAGTGGCAGGAGCAACTTACAGGAGCGACTTGCGACTTTCCCAGCTGGCTTCCCCGTTGACTTTGCTTGTGGGAAGCTGGCAGGGAAGGTCACAAATGGTGATCACGTGACTGCAGAGATGCCGTGACAGCTGCAACTTTGCGGATCAGTCGCAAGTCCCCCTTGTTCAGCGCCGTCATAATTTTGAGTGGTCGCTGAATGAGTGGCTGTAAATCGAGGACTACTAGTACAAACTGGATGAACAAATTACTTTTTAAATTCATAATAGGAAAAAAAATGGAAATCAGCTAAGCAAGTATTCAAAATGAGAAAAGTGTAGATTTGAACCAAGAATCAGAGCCCTAATCTGTATGTAGCCTAGAGACTGATTGGATAGAGGCAGTAGATGCTGCATGAATAAATAGTCTAAAAGTGCTACAATCACATTCCTGCCTCTCGACTTAAAATACTGTTTAAATAAAATATATTAATATTTCTGGCATTTTTCTGACTAGAGCCAAAAGTAAAAACCTCAGAACCTACGAGAGAGAGAGAGACTATATTTTGAAAGCGGAGAGATTAGCAAATTTTGCTGTAAACCTTGCTCAGATTTCAATGCTAATTTAGCTCACTGCCACTCTTTCATCCTCTCCTAGCACTATATATATCTGCTCGCAACATAACCTTTCCAAACAATGACGAAAGAAATTTCTTCTGAAGGCTTGCAAGCTATGCAGTTCCAAGAAGTTCACTTCTCAGTAAGTCAGATGTTCTACGCCAAAGCCAAAGTCGTCTGTTTCACTGGCTTCCATGTACTTCTTCAGCTTCTGAAATCAGAAAAGGAACCCTATGCTAAATTATTGTCAAAGCGTTCTGATTACAACCCAATTTCCTTTGAGGTTTTCTCCAGGTATTCACTGTAGACTAGGCCTTCACTGCTCAATTCGTTGCAGAAGACCTGGCCACCAAGGGATATTTCTGCACTTCTTTAAAAGCAGCCTATCGAGCTCATGCAGTGCTCCTGTTCAGTTTAGCTTTCTGTTCTGTTCTTTCTGTTCAAATATCCTGCTGGACACCAGTAATGATCAGACATTTTCAGCTTGAATAAAACAGCAAAAGCTATGAATCTTAACTCTCTCTTTATACCTACAATGCAGTAGCAAGCCTTGACCCCTGAAAAATTAGTGGGCCTTCATAATTTAAACCAAATTCATCACTGTAGCATCAAATTCCACTGCAAGGATTCTTTTACCCTCCTAATCACAACCTACCCTGAACTTTGCCCATTTGATTATTTCTACTGTTTAAGCCTTGTTTCTGAATAGACAAATCAAAGATATTGCTAGTTTAGAGACTGTGTGGGTGGGTTTTGATTAGGAACAATAGGACTCCAGTTAAACATCACTAAAAACCTGTTTATTTCAATGGGTTTAGTGGGCACTTGGGTATTGATTTCGGTAGAGTGAATTTAAGAATAAACTGATCTGGAATTGACTCACTGATCTGGACTAAGCCATGGCTTACAGAATAAGCCAGAAGGGCTTCACACATCATGCTAAGCCATAAACCATGGTTTACTAACCATGGATGAGCTCACACATTACATTAAACCAAGGCTAAATAAGTCTTGTCATGGCTTGCCAGAAACTCAGTCGCCCTGTCTCTCACAACAGAGCATCTTCTAAAGAGCTGTGCATGTCATTGTATGCAGCAAGTAAAATGGATTCTTCTTATCAGGATTATGGTTGTTAAAATGAATCCTACTGATATCTATTCAGAAGTAGAGCTTTCAGAGGAATACTATATGTGTAAGATTTGAGTCTAGAAGGAAATGGATTTAGGTTTCATAATAAAATAGCACCAATAACTGGACTGAAAGTGTGCTGGTCAAGGGTCTATGGTGCCCCTAAGCCACACTGACTGATGGTGCCACCTCCCACCAACGTGAAGATTCGTACTGTTAGACTAGCCTTTGTTTTCAGAAAAAGGGGCAGTGTTGGCACCCCAGGCCAGTACCTATTTGGTCAGGGCCTTTGGTCAGCTAAGGCCTGACGAAAAGGAGCCCTAGGGCTACGAGGCAATTGCGTGTGAAGACCAAGATGAAGTGGAAAGCCAGCAAGCCAGCCAGCCAGCCAACTTTCCATTCTGAAGCCTTGACAGCAGGAGGTCAAGTCTGCAACACCAGGATGTATGTCACAAGGCTTCTGATTTAACACATAGGTAAGTAGAGCCGTGGAAAGAGCACCAGTTTCAGAAATCTGCCTCACAAAACTTGGGTTGCTATCTCCCTAAGACACCATCTACTTTTGCAACACAGACACTGAAGCCTTAGTGAGAATGTCTTACTCCCCATAGCTCTCAGCAAAAGATTTGCTTTGGGGAGTGAAAATACTCTCTCTAAAAATTGGGGTTACTGATTCTCTCTTTGCCACAGACCCTCATACCCCTGAATTCAAGCCCTGGGGAAATGTGCAAGACAAAATCAAGGATTGAGGTGAGAAAAGGGAGTGAGCCCATGAGGCTAAACAGAAGTGAACTTATGCCTTCATCTGAACGGGTAGATCCAAGTTTATGGTATCATTCCTGCACATTACAGTTTAATGCAATAGAGCCAAGCCAAAAGCAGCCTTGGGTTCAAAGTTCTGCCCTCCTAGGAAAAAGAATTTTGGAAAATGTCATGGCTACAGTACCTAGGCCTGAAACAGGTTAATTTAAACAAGGCAGCTATAGTTTAAAGTTTGCTTGTTTAAAACATGGCATAACATGAACCAATTTCAAATCTTCAGTATTAAAATTGGATTTTTAAACCCAAATATAGTTAATGTTAAGCAGCATTCCAGACCTTGCAGATCAAGACGGCCCTGCACAAAAACAGAAGCTTCTGAATACTGCTTCCTGGCTGCACGGAGTAAGCGTGGGCCAGAGCATTATGAAAATTCATTTGTGTTCACCTCACCCTGGACTAATATGACGTAGAGACGTTCTTCTTGTATATAAGGCAATGCTAAACGAAGCAATGCATAACTTTGAACAAACGCAAGCTCTGTTCCGGGCAGAGCAGTTAAAAGAGTCGTGCGACAAGATGCTCACTCCACTTGAGTGGGATTTCAACATCTGAAATGAAGCATACCAGTAGAAAGAAGAAAAGAGGCCACTTATGAGTCTGAAGAACCAATGGCCCCTGGAAAGTTGAATCGCCTGACTTCCAGGAGGAACATCATGACAAGAGAGAGAGAACCAGCATGGTCTCTCCTTATGACGAGAGACGCCGCTGGAAAACTCCCTTTGCCCCATCCACTATTCTGAATATTCAGCTCTGATTGATTCAGCTTTGGGGACCTGCTATAGAGCAACAGGCTGTAAACCAATTTATTCATTAGCTTTATGCCTTGGCTAAAGGAACAACAGCCACAAATTGCTACTCAAATGCAAGAGCTTCTGGAAGGGAAGAGCAGCCCTGATTAAACTGCATATCAATACCAGAAAACTGTTCTCTTCTTTCTGGCCACGAAAAACGAATCTCCCCTCCAAATCCAGATCCGATCCAATGCAGATCTGGTTTCTTGACATAATTTCTGTTTTCATGAATGAATGAATGAATGAATGAATGAATGAATGAATGAATGAATGAACGGACAGACAGATGGATGGATGGATGGATGGATGGATGGATGGATGGATGGATGGATGGATGGATAGATGGAGAAAAGATCTCTACAGTTCTAATGAATGTAGTGATGCTGTCTGGTTTTTAAATATAAGTATTTATTTATTAAAGTTGTATACCACCAATTACAGCGAACTGACTAGAATCTACTCAATCTTACTTTGGCTGTCCACAAAACAGATAAAACTTTAAGAACACAAATTAACTCCCAGTTAATTATATGAGGCATTAATTTATCTCCACTAAAAACGCTTAAAAACCCCACTGTATGTCTTAATCTACTTTAATACAACTGCTTTAATTGCTCTTTCAATATTTAACCCAGCTACCTATCCATCTAGTAAACTATAATTACACATGCCCTCTGAATCCCCCCCCCGCCAAAGACTCATACTGAATTTAACAAAAGGCTTGCATTTCAGAAGCGCTGTCCTTAAAACAGGACAGACAAAACGATTCGATTGATTCCAGATTCAGAGAAACGGTTCTATGTTCTGTTGAAAACCGACACACAATTAACATGAGTAACATCTGATTTTTATGATATTTAGCAAGTGGAACTTCCACAGCTGCTACCACCCTTGTCCAAACAGTTCAGAGCTGAGACAACCAATCCATACTATGTACAACCGTTGCATTTCTAATATGCGCCTACAGCTTAGGCCTGGGGCATGCTTCCAGGGAATTCTCTTTACAGCTACTTGCTAAGCACAAAAGAAGTGAAGTTTGTCAAAACCTGCCAACGCGCTGTACTTTGGAAGCACGGAAAGAAAAGAAATCAGTTCTCCTTCCTTTATCTTCTTTTCCAAACAAGCAAACAGCGTTAGCAGACAGGGTGCAAGATTAGGACAGGCCTAGACTAGCTGTTCTCCGTTTTTTGATGCTGTGATGGCAAAAACAAACAACAGAAATTATGCATCCCATTGTATTCTCAGCTACTGGGGGGGGAAAAAGGCTGCAAGGACAAAGGCCAAGCCATGAAAAGGCCGTTTTGTGCCATCCAAGAAGAGGCACTGCCTTTAGAGCAGAAAACAGAAACCGTGCTGTGAAAATGGACCGTGTTTCTGATTAGCAGTAGCAGAGCAGCTCCTGTATTACCCTCAGGGATCATCGCTGTGGTTATCTGCTCACACCTCTAAAGTTCAAGTAGTTGTTAAAAAGGATCGCTTCCTCTTTTCTGAATGAGCCTTTCTGAAAGTTACAGCACCTCCCCCTCCACAAGCCCTTGTCCCATTTCTCCAACGGACTTCTCTTGAATCTCCTCTCCAAAAAGGGTCACAAACCAACTCCCCCCCCTTCCTGATTCCAAATCTCTTTGAAGACAAAGGAAATAATTCCTCATCATTCTACACAACAGGCTGTTACACCACGGTCCTGTTAGCCAATGGCCCTCTTAGTCCTGTCTTCTTCAAGCAGGTTCATCTCAAAATCACCATTCCTAAGTCTACCAGTGAAGGAACCCCCTTTCAGAAACATCAACTTGTCTTCAGGACGCTTTCCCCATCTCAACCCATGAGATCATTCTCACAAATATTGCTCTCCGGTTCTTCCTTCCTCTTTTTTTAGGGTTCTTGATTCTAAAATACCACACCCTCAGGATACCATTTCTGATTCCCCCAAAGATTCCTTACTTCTGCCTTTTTTTGGAGGAAACACAGTTTCTCTGTATTTCAGAAAGCAGCTTTGGTGTGTAATCTTCTGAAGAACATCCTGGATTACCTCCTTTTGAGGCTCCTCAATATCTCTGGATCTTCTGTGGGAGGATGCTTTCGGTTGTCACCCTCCTCGTGTGGACTCCACTATCTTTTTCCTTTTAATAAGGCTCATTCCCTAGATAAAATATTCCAGTTTTGAAGGGTTCAGCACAGCAGGTTCCACTAAAAACCATCCCTGGACAGTATACTTCCACATTCAAAGGAAGCAATTTTCACACCTACAGTCTTTTTCCTGAACAAGATCACTTCAAAAACAGAAAGAGAGGCAAAGAAGATCCTTGGAAAGTTCCCTTTTCAAGTTGAGGGTCTTCCTTTCCAGAAATCAAGCAAAGAGAAGGCACTTTGATCTTTGAAGGATGTCTTTCTGAAGACCTTCCTCTGGGTCATGATCTCACATGGTCTCAGAAATATATTTGGCTGCTACAA